AGCTGACGCTTTTATCCAAAGTGACTAAATAAGTGCGTTTGACCAACAAAATACAAACTTGAAGAAAACAGAATCATATAAGTACATCAGGTTTCATAAAGCAAAACATTTCAAGTGCTACTCAACTGATAAGCCAGTCCTTTATTAGTATATAAGTGCTCTGTTAGTAATTATATCACTTTAAACACAATTTCCCAAGGTAATGTCTTCAAATGTTGGTTTGTCACGGAACATGCCAAACCCAATCATGGTGACTTTAACTTCACATATTTTGCAAATTTCACAAATTGGGGTCTTAAGCATTATTTGCTTAAAACGTATGAAAACATTTCGAATCGATTATTTTTCTGTTGATCGGCTTATTGATGAATGGACTAATCGCTGCAGCTCTAGATAGGAATATAAGCTTTTCTGGAAAATATATAGGAAAGGATTTATAAAAACATTCCTATTTTCTGATGCAGGTCTGCTGTTTTACCGTATGCCTTTAAGTAAGCAGTCAAAACCCAAGGAGATAGCACAACTTTTCTCAATTGAACTTCAAAATCTCTTTTTTTTTATCAAATGCATCAATCAGTCCCCCAAAGTCTTTCAATTAGATTTTGCACAGCGCAGGTAAAACGTGGATACATTGCATACTATAAAACTGAAGTTTGGAAAAGTTGTTATCCAGTTATCATCGCGGCAATATGCATTCGATCAAAACACTGAATTGATTTGACTGTGCCTAAGGACATTAATAATTACCACGGATAGCATTTAAAGGGATTACATGTGAAGTGACCTACAGCGTGGCCCCCTCAGGTAGAGTAGCACACAAAAGGATTACCGGTGTACGAACACAACTGTGCCATCTGTGAGAGAGAACTAATGATGAAAGAGATTACAGTGTGCCACTGGAGGGCTCTACGGGAGGATTGGAAATGCTCAGAGGCACACACAGGAAAAGGGAAAAAAGGATATTTATAGCAGACTTAAAGCTCAGTGGTTTGAGGATAGGCTGCTGCAAAGATTTAATGCAAAGGTACTTTTGGGAATGTGTCATTAATGCCTTAATGTATTGCCAATTAAAAATACTTAGTGTCTTTCTCTCTCGTAAAGCTACTACTACTGTACTATTGAAGATGTGCTTTATGTAGAAGCTGTAACTATTAAGTATTCATATTTCAAGCTGGTTTGCTGTATTCATTTCCTCTCTTCCCTTGGCAGTGCCTACACAGAGCCTTTCCCGATGAACGCCGTCTCTGCCGGGCTGTCAGCGGACGAGGACCACGGGCGCACTTCAGAGGAGGAAGAGGGGGCGGCTGAGCAGAGTATGACCGACAGGTGAGATATGGGATACAGAAACAGATGAAAGCAGGGTAGAAGATGTTTAATTATGTTCTCTGAGTTACCGACTGGCATTATATTAATAGACCCTGTGGAACTCATATTTAAAATATTCTACACATGGCGATGTCAGATTTGAATGAAGATGACAACATAATATATTTACGAGAGTAGGACTGAACAACAGAACCTAACGTAAATTATTGTGTGTATCTTTTCTACAGGAAGATACATTATAAACGATGCAAGTTTTTGATCCATTGTCTCTAAGTCAATTCGTTTTTTTAAATGTGTTTTGGGTTAAATGCCTGTAACATGGTCTGTGGTTAACACAAACTATTTCATTATGATTTGTCTATGATCTTCTGTGCAACAGCAGGAGTCCAGAAAATGTTTCCTTACGAGTACAATAAAGCATTTAGTTTAGTATCATAAAACTTTTTGTTCTGGGACATAACATCTGGCAGTAATTACCTCTATTGTGAATTTCAAAGCTACTACGTGTCTTACAATATGCAGTTGCTAACATGTGGCTAAATGAGAATACAGTAGTTGGTGACATACAGTCATGCGCCCATAAGGTTTTTGGGATTGCTTTCATGCTTTCATGCTTAATAAACCAAAATGTGGTAAAGATGATATAGCTAAAGAACATATGTAGGCTAAGTAATATAAACACAGCTTATTTTCTGCAATTATCTAAAATCCAATAAAAAATGTGTTTTCTGAGGGAAACCCAACGCTAACTTCCCTGTTGGCCTACAAAATACTTTACCCATGCAGCACTCTATTGCTTTAGGCCTCAAACTCCCCGTACAGTAAAAGGCATCCATTTTACAGTAGCTCAGAGATGGACCCCACCCGTCCTGCTCCCATAATAATATCAGGCCACACAGCTCACATCACGTGACACGCATTTCCTTGTTTTCTCCTTCTTCAAAGCAAAAAAACAATACATTTAGGAAAAAACAGAGAGGAAGAGGACCAGAGAGACTTGAGTTGGCTGCAGGAACAGTTTATTTTAATGGAACTGTGTTTTGGTTTTACTTCGAGGAAATGAGGATCAGCGTGCCTTAATGCATTATTTGTGAAATGCCCCATAAAGAAGAGAGAAACAAAATAACACTGACAAAGCACCGGAGCCTTGCCGGTAAACCCCTAAATTGCTTCAATGTTATGTTTCGGCTCGGATGTTTTGAGACCCTGTGATTAGCCTTTAAATCAATGGGCACCAGTGTTGTCGCCACAGCCTCTCATACATAATGTATCTGAATTTAAATGTTCCGTATTTGAGCAACCCTTTGTGTCTCTGCTGTTACTCTAATGAAATAATCAGTCTTATTTCGACAGCAGAAAACTGACGCACAAAAAAGTGAATTTGCTTTATTGCCAGCCTCCTTGGCTGCTGCGAAGCTGTTCCTATTAATGTTTGAGAGGAATAAGTGCCCTCAGAGAGCCTTTAAACATTAGCTGTGTTCACTCATCTCACACTGTTCTCCCTCGCTGTCACGCAGATTGATGGCCGATCCCGAGCGTTCTACGTCGCCAAAGAGCTGGTCGACTCAGAGAGACTGTGAGTATCTGCGCTGGATTTCCCCGTTTGCACACAGACGCATCCAAATCTGATGTTTTTTTGGCCTTGTCTGTACTCTCCTTTTCCTCTGACCGTATCTCTCCTGCTCCTGAGCTAATTTATCCTGAATGTGGACTATCTGACAGCCAATTACACATTAACCCTTCTTCTGATGTACTTTTCCCATCATGCATAATTTAGAAACTTAATGAGTCTTGTATAAAAGATTAACATAGCTGTGTAGAAGGTTGTAAATTATTTTCAGAGTTTAATTAAATCTTGTGTTTCTCTCGTCTTGTTTTCCAGACACGTCAGCGCCCTCAAGTACCTTCAAGAGTAAGAAAAGCTTCGCTGCCACGCCATAAGCGTGTCACATTGGCTTTGAATGTATCCTCCTTTAAAGCCTATTAAACTTTCTTAATGATAACATCACTTCCTGTTTGTCTGCTCCCCATTCTCTGTCTACATCTCCTGTCGTAAGGCTCTGCTCAGGTTTATCAATGTTGTTGCAGCGAGATCTACTTCCTGGTCTTGACAGAGTTGATGTGTTGCACACTGGAGTGGTCAGTTGTAAGATGACGCAGCGTGCGTACTGCGGGCGTTTTGCTGATGCTGTCCCTGTATCCTTACTCAACTAATACAATGATACATAAATACAATGATTCATAGCAACTCAGCTGGCAATCTGCCTCCTAAAGGTCACAAAAAGTCAGCTGGGCCCTTTAGTTGTTGTGGTTTATGCACAGTATGAACTTCATATGGCCTTAAAATGGAGAATATCCCCTTTAGAGGTGAAATGACTTCTGTTAATGCGGGAGAGAGGATTTAAGGTTGAGCTGGGGTAAGCTTCATACGGTCGGCCATGCTTCACCACCAACTGTTTTCATCTACTTCCATCAATTCTCACTTACTACCTGTCAAAACCAGACCAAATCACTGGAGGGAAGGGATTTACCAAACGCACCACATAAATGACGGTGAAACAGTTAAAAACTTGAGGGGTGTGTTCATGAGCTTAAGTTAAGTGTTTTATTTCATTGCTCCAAAGCTTTTAAACAACATGTCGACATCTGTTTCCGAGTTGCCGTTCCGACTTAAGGGAGGGTTAACGTAAATGTTCACTTTCGCAAACTACATTTTTGAATTATTTTTGACACAACACCAATACAGCAGCAATGCTCTCTCTTGCAATGTTAATGGAAGTGAAACATAATCCGTGAACCCCCCTCCTGATCCAATCCTCTCCAAAATGTAATGGGTTTTTCCTTGGCTCATGCTACACCCTTTCACCAAGTTTCATGAAAATCTTTTAGCATAGTTCTGCTGAGAAACAAACAGACAAACATAACCTCCTTGGCTGAGGTGAGCATTATTTCATTTTAATGAAAAGGGAAAGTCCCGCTGGAGACATCAGATAGGCAACACCTTTGGAAAAACGGTGAGGAAGAGTTGCCATTAAGGTGATGGTTGCCAGTACAAATCTGACAGGTAGAGTCATTGAACCAGGAGAAGCCCATCAGTCAGCCTGTACCTTATAACCTTGAATGAGGTCATAACCTGAATTTCTTACATGTGCCCACCCACCATGATTTATGAAAGCCTGCTCTGGGCACACTAGCAGCTGCTTTGTATAATGTCTAATTTGACGCCATTAAAACAACAAGTAATGCAAATATTATACAATGGACGCCTCTAATATTCATAAATCTGCAATCTCATCATTATGCTCAATTATACTAATTAGCTGCTGCATGCCAAAGCACTGTCAATGTGGGCTTTAAAGTGACAATTTGACAGTCTATCTTGAATCGTTCAATTATATAATTTTCAGTGAATTTTTCCTTTTTTATACTAACCTTGGTTTGAGCGCCTCTTGTGTAACCACAGGACCTCATTGAATCTTCTTGCCACCTTTCTAAGGTGACATTGAGGGCTTTTTTTATCATGCTGCTGCATAATGCATTGCTGCTGTGTTCGGGTGTTATTATTCTTCAAACTTCAAACAGTGATGTGTTGAGATTAGTTACTGTTTGATGCACAAACAGTAACTAATGTCATGTCATAATTAGCATGAAACTGAGCAATACAGCTGGGAAACACTCCAGCGGCACGAACACACAGTTTGGGGTGTGAGGGGGGGCGTTAAGTGAGAGGCACACATGAGCTATTGTTCCATTGTTTGATAAAAAATAACAAGAATACAAAGAATTTCCAGAGCCTGTCCGCACATAGGAAGGGAGGCCGTGCTCCTCTTCTAAAGGCCTTTCCCTGCAGCAGCTTCAACACATAGGGCTTATTATTTTGTGCTTGTTTGTAGCCTGTGACCTCGAACAGATTCTCTTTGCTGAGCTACGACCGACCGACTGCTTAACGTTTCTTTTGACCTGCCTGATGTGAGGGAATAAGGTTGAGAGTGGACCGGGGAAATCTGGAGAGTAAAGCTCCTCTCATTCATGGATCTGAGTGTTTGTGTGTAACCCGGAAGACAACCAGAGCTGTTCTTCTCCCCGGCAGATGTGATGAATGTTAACTCATACGCGATCGATTGTGCATGATGAACGACGTGTTCTGAAGCACCCAGTGTCACTGCATTATCCAGCAGCCGGGACAACTTTATTTGTTTTATGTGCTTTACTCAGAACTAGAATAGATGGACTCCAGAATGTATCACTCACACACACACACGCACGCACGCACACACACACACACACACACACACACACACACACACACACACACACACACACACACACACACACACACACACACACACACACACACACACACCACCATACACACACCACACATACACACAGAGATTTCTTTGTACTTCATCTATTTTTTGTGTGGATGAAAATCTCTCTTTTGGTTTTTTAGTCCCATGTGACATAACTCTTCATATTGGCCCTCTTAGTGTCTGGCACTGCAGCTGCTATTAATGCCTGTTGCTTATGTTTTATGTGCGCTGAATAGACTTCAGTGAACCTGAATTAATTGTATATCAGTGAATTTTTCGTTTCTTGTCTAAGGAAACATGAAAAGTGGGGATTTTGTACGAACCAGCATTGTGTCATTGAGCACCAAGTTCTTTATGCAACAACACCTGGTGTGATACTCTTGTACAAGCAGTGCCGCCTTTCCTGAATGCCTGGACAGAGCCCAAAGTGGTGGGGAGGCTCTGAGGTGATTTGAAGGGAGGGTGGCAGGAAGGATGTTTAGGAGTATCTGACCTTCCTTCCATTTCTCCCCCCTTTTTCATTCCTCGTTGCCTTTAATTTCTCCTGCTCACTTCCTTCTTTTACCTTACCCTTTCCTCCATTCACCTCTCTTTCTACCCCATATGTCTGTTGTTTTAAATATCCCTCTTTCTCACAAATCCCTTTTCCCTCTCCTGTGCAGGACTTTAGGTCTGCAGTGATGGAGGCGCTGGGGGAGGAAGAGGAGCCTGTGCTGGAGGAGCAGAGGTTAGGAGAGATATTGGGCATGCTCCCCCAGGTCTACACCCTCCACAGCAGCATCCTTACTGAGCTGGAGGAACGCATTACTCAGTGGTAAGAAACACCAGGGACATTACTGTTAGTTGTCCTGTTGCCTGTGTTGTACACTGCAGATGACGCCGTTTCTAATCGTGGTGTATTTAGTATGTAGCCTGAATACAGTTCAAACTGAGACAGGCTAACGCAGCATGGATGTAAAGTATAAAAAACGCCATCCTCCATTCTACACTGAGGCCACACAATAATTACTCTACAACCTATAACCCTGCTTTAAAATGCGTAGCAGGATAAAATAACACTTTGTGAGGTCATTCTTTAACCAGAAAGACGTGTAAAGGAGCAGATCCAAAGGTTATTTAGAGACTAGCAGACACAATGACAATATTTACTGGCTGAAATTCAAAAAGACAGGCTGATTACAGATGAACAAAACTCCATGCATCAACAACAACATACAGACAGCGCAAAAATAAAACTGGAAACACAGAACATGAAGGAATTACATGAAATAAAATAAACATAACCTAAGGGCAGGGCAGATTATGACTATATGAGACGAGGAATATTCCCATCTTTATTTGTTAAGAAGCAAATGAGCATATTTCCTGAAATGTCCACTTTTCATTTAATTTAAAATATCAATTAAAACCCTCTCACAATGACATCTTTCTAGACATTTGCAGATGTTCCATAATCTTACGAGTGATGGATTATATTCCTAAAATAGTGAAGTCACAACGAATGTAGTTTACTGTAAAGAAAATTGAAAGCAAAATGTTAACCTCTATGTTTAAGGTTGTCGACATCATCATTATGGGAAATGTATGAAAACTAGGGGAGAAGTATGTTAGTTAAAGGACAGTGGTTACAGACAAAAACAAGTCATGGATTCCTTGAATGACAATTCTAGAAGGTTGAATACAAATTCTAGAATATAAAATGTTTCATGGTAGACTATCGATCTTTGCATTGATATAAATAACAAACATTCACTTTGCATGAAATGACTTGAGAAAATGTACTTAATCTTAAAATGTTCTATCTGTGCAGGGAGGAGAGCCAAAGGGTGGTCGATGTGATCCTGTCACGTCGCGAGGACTTTGGGGTGTTTGACACCTTTATCTCAGAGTATGATCGCAGCATGTTCCTACTGGAGGAAAGCTGCAAAGACAACCAGGCCTTCACCAACATCGTTAGGAAATTTGAGGTAAAACGCTGAGCAGTGAAACTAGATCCTGAGCAGACAAAGGGAGATTTTAATTGTGTCTCCTGCCAACAGTTAGTCTTTGTGTCTATTCCCATTTTTTCCTTTGTGTTTATTATTTTACTGAGCGCACTGCAATAGATCCCGTCTTCATAGGGGAGCTCGTAGAAGTATTTTGACAGTCACATGCTGACAGTTTGACAGCTCAAACCTCGGGTTCAGTTTCTCTGTTTATGCAGGGAAAGTTAAACCTTGTATGTGTTTCCAGGGAGTAAATATGGTACCTGTTTCCCTCTCAACTTAGATTTTGTCACCCAGCTCCACATGGAAATAATGGCCTTTTCTAAATCCCATCTATCCCTCTCCTCTCCTTGGAGCTGACCTTTCCGATGTCATGCACGCATATTTTATACCCACTCAACACCAAATACTCATTCTTTGTCCAGCAATGGATCCCTTCATCCTTTCGCTCCCTAGAGAGCAGGAAAGTGGGATTTTGGTGTCAAGATCAAAATTCATAGCAAAGCTCATTCTAAACCCATCGCAATCGTCCACAGATTGTGTGCCTGGTCTACTTTAAGCAACACTTTTGATATATTGGAGAGGAATGGGTATAGTTCAAACTGGTGACAATGTAATTGGCCATTTGTAACTAAAAGACAGGATATCAAGAGAGCCTAAAGATAAGACCAAGAGATTCACGGATAGATTTCTCATTTTTATGCAGCTGTGTCCTCGTCTATAGAATTGATTCACAATTTGCCGCAGTGTGGCAGCACACAGGTCACCCTGAATAATAAAATATCCCAATTGAAAGCCTATCCTGGGTTTCTGTTTATGTTAAACATTGAATTTCACAAAGCTTCCTACTCAACAAAGCGTCTTTCCCTCCAAAATTGTACACATTACCAGTCCCATGCTGTATTTGGATACACTTTGAGTGGCTGACACAATGCTTCCAGGCTCATCGAGGGTTGATAAGAAAGAAACGGACAAGGCACTAACTGTCTCCGCTCATGAATATTCAGAAGCAGCTGCCCCTTCCAAGGAAAATGTTGGCTCTGCCAGACTTTAGCGAAGCTCGTGTAAATAGAATAGAGTGGAGTTGAGAGATGAGACCCTTAACCATCACAATTATCTTTAGTATCTTACAAAGTGTCTTCGATAAACCTTGATCGAATTCGTGCCACTTTATTTTAGCCTCATGAAGTTGATAATAGTCCCTTTTCTCACATCATAAACCACTAATTGCCACCTGGAGTAGCAATAAATGGATTGATTTGCAAAAAGGATAAACCCATTAAAGGACATGATCATATCTAAGGACAGAAGTATATTGTATGTTCTGCAGAAAGGTTAGTCTCATCTCATCTTGCACCTCTAAATTAACACCGAGAGGCATATCCAATAACCTATTCTCAGTCCACCGGCAGATTCACCACACTTGCCACTCCATATACACACAGAACATTGTGTTAACATTTCCCATACTGCATATAAGACTATAATCTGAGGTCTGTCCTCCCCAACCTCCCCACACCAGGGCATTGTTTTTGTGTGATGGATGCTGTGTTGAATCAAAGCACTGCCTTGGGATTTGCAAGGTGTGTGTGACCCCACTGTAATGAGGGAGAAGGAGGGCTGAGGGAGAGCAAGGAGGATCATACGGGTCATAGGACACTATATGTACTACTGAGAGGGGCCGATAATCTTTTATCTGTCGGCCGTGTGACGCCTCATTATACTTAGTAGTGGAAACACTGATTTTAAGGTTTTTTTGTATTATTGACTGCAGATATTTTTGTGAATTGAAAATGTTATAGGGCGTTCAGTAGAGTTGTTTTGCCCGTCTGTATTTTTACGACCGTACGCTCAATGACCTCTCATACTTGCGATGATACACAATATTAGAACTATTTTATACCTTCGATGAAAGCTGGCTCCTTATTCTTGTTAACCGGCCGATAAATGCTTCTGTAACAAGCTTCTTCTTTTTTTTTTTAAATCCTTACGGCCCGTCCACACAGTGGCGTGCGTTGACGCTTGCCGGCGGGCGTGTCTGACACTCGACCAACAACCAATCACATGAATCTTCCGCCCCAGACACACAAGCACGCGGTTTGATTGGCTAGAGCTTGTACTGGCATATGATTCGATTGGCTGACGCCTCCGTCGAGGCGTCAAAAGTTGAACATTGCTCAACTTTTGAAGCGAGCAACGCCAGCAACGCTCCACGTCGCTTCCCAAAATGCAGTTCGGCTAAAAGTCACCCCATTCAAAGTGAATGGGCAGAAGCGTTGGAAGCTTCAACGCACGCCGCTGTGTGGACGGGCCGTTACCTTGACTTAGGCCACATGTTGGACAGTAGAACAGTTTGGTCTCTCTTAGAACCGAAGCATCTGCAGATTAAATCCACACCCAATGTGTTATGATACACTAAAGTTAGATATGAGAGATCCTTTTAATTCTAAGGGTAGGGGAGAGGGAGAAACTCCTGGTAGAGATCTGCACTCTACCTGCGTGACCTTTACAAGTTTTTCATCAATTCATCTCTTTCTTTGTTTGAAGACTGAAACCCATTACCTCCCTCAACACGTCTTCTTCTTCTCAACCTTCCCGCTTTATTTTGCTCCAAGCCAAAGTCCAGCAGTCTAAGTGGTAGTAATTTCATTGTAGATATGGTGATGACAGTGATGAAGTAGCCACAGACTCTGATCAGATCAGAGCTAGACCTTTACACGATTAAAGCCTCCTCTCCACAGCCAGTTCCCCTGTTTACCACACCATCTATAAACATTGGGTAACACAGTGTGGTGGTTTGTAAATGTGTGTGTGTGTGTGTGTGTGTGTGTGTGTGTGTGTGTGTGTGTGTGTGTGTGTGTGTGTGTGTGGTGTGTGTGTGTGTGTGTGTGTGTGTGTGTGTGTGTGTGGTGTGTGTGTGTGTGTGTGTGTGTGTGTGTGTGTGTGGTTGTGTGTGTACCCTTTGTTTGTGAGTGTTTGCACCTTGTTGTGCTGGTGTCTGATTGTTTCGCAGGGACATGTCCATACACATAGATCTTGTGAAACTAGTTTATGAAATCCCCTTTCCAAAGCACATCCACTTAGATTTATATTCATGCCATGGCTTGTGTCGGTGTGAAGCCTGTGTGTGTTTTTCTCTTGTGCAAGAAGCCCAAAGGAGAGGAGGAGGCTGTGCAGCAGGTGGACATAGAGCGATAGGGGGAGAGAGCGATGGAGTGAAATCCTTGTAAAGGCAGCTGGGCAATGAGGCAGACAGAAGCTAATTAGAGAAGCAGTCTCCTTTACAACTCCCCAATTAGATCAGTGTGTGCATTTTGTGTGAATGTGTGTGTGCATTCAGCAAATCAGTTGGCCGTGAAAGAGTCTGAAAGTGTTGGTGTATGTGTGTGTGCATGTGTTTGTCTCCCAGCACGAGGCATCACCCACTCCCTCTTCTCTCCTCCCCCATTTGGCTCGCTCACCCAAACAAACCACACGCTAATTACCATCTCTGGAAAGCCACTTCCTCTGAACAAGTGTCAATTGGATGACAATTTACAAGCGACACTTGAGTAGAGCGGATGTTCTGAAACCCAAGCTGGTCTAATAATGGAGAGCTGTGTATTATAGTACTTGACGCATCATGTAGTGATAGGAGAGAAGAGGAAAGAGAGCAGAAAAGAGAGATGAATTCAAACAGAGGTTGTTGCTGAGGGCCGAAATTAAGGAGAGAAGGATTAGACAAAGAATAGGAACAAAAAGATAGTTTTTGTAAAAGGCCTGCTCATTAAAAGAGGCATCAGCTCTTTGTTTTACTTTTGACTCCTGCACTCCAGATTGCGATAATGAAGATAAAGAGTGGTGTGTTTTCCTCACATCCCACCCCTACCCTTTACTGGCCAAATCAGTGTTATCTCATCCCCAGCCCAAGGTCTGTGTGTGTGTTTATCCCTGCTTGTGTGTGGAGGGGCGCATCAATAATATATTGTTTGTGAATGTGTCCGAGACGAGTTCATTGTGTGTCTGTGTGGGTTCTTGTCTGTGTGCAGTGTGTGTGCAGTGTAAATAAGATGAAGATGATGTTTCCCGCAGGGCGCTATCTGTGCCTCTCTAATGAAAGATAGGACTTCATTGGATTAGAAAATGCTCTGGTGTGTGTGTGTGTGTGTGTGTGTGTGTGTGTGTGTGTGTGTGGTGTGTGTGTGTGTGGTGTGTGTGTGTGTGTGTGGTGTGTGTGTGTGTGTGTGTGTGTGTGTGCGTGCGTGTGTGTGCGTGTGCGTGTGTGTGTTGTGTGTGTGTGTGCGTGTGTGCGTGTGCGTGTGTGTGCGTGTGTGCCCGGTCCCCATTGCTCTTCTACCCGCTCAGGGCATGAATACCTGTCAGAGGCAATTAGATCCTGATAGATTTTCTAAAGCTCTCTTTGATTGGACCAATGTCTGCCCCCTTTCACCTGCAAATAACTACTGTGAGGAGAACAATGGGAGTTGTTCAGGGGTTTTCTTTGCTGAGAAGATGCGTCAAGGTCAGCCAGTCCGATAGTGTCCCCGTGGTCACTAGTGACCTTGACTCGCTGCATCGCAGCATTATAGAGGTCACCTTCAAAGAGATGTGGTTTTCTGGGTGCATTTCAGGAATGCCTTTTGACGATCAAGCTATATATTTGTTTTAATGGTTTTATCTCAGTGGAAGTCAAACAATTCAGTAGCCTACACTGAAAACAACTTCATATAGGATATCCTACAAGATGTCAAATTCAAGCTTTGAAACCCATGTATATTTACTTCTTTTCTTTTTTGACCTCTGTGTGTGAACAGACACGAAGCCCAGAAGAAGCTGAAATCCCACTGAAACACCAGCTGCTGCAGGTCATAGTGAGAGTGCTTCAATATCGAATGCTACTCACAGGTAACAGACAAATACGCACATACGCAAGGCTATTCAATACATTTTAAAGCAAGCTCATGTCATTTTGCCTAACAAGGGCTATTGAAGTCCTTCATAACAACTATGGGATAACATTAGCCGCTAAAACGTATAACAGTAGCAAATAAGTTAAGCACTGCTAATGTTAGCTAACTGTAAGTGAGCCACGATTAGCTAGGCTACTGTGTACTTAACTAAGTATCTTAAGTGAGTTGGGTTTGTTATTTTGCTCATGAATTCAAGCATTGGCATTTTCTTCTTTTAAAACATACTCCTGCTTTTCAAATGTACAAATGCTAGAGAAGACAGGTTGTTAGCATAACGTTGTGTATTAGCCTAGTTCTTACCATGTTGCACTATACTTTACAGTTTATAAAATCTCATTTGTTTTTTAAACCTTATTTTCATGCCTTGACCTATTTCTGTCTTCTCCAGATTACCTGAACAACCTCTCTCCTGATTCTAAAGAATATGAGGACACGCAAGGTAAACCTGAACGCCATTAAAGTCATGTTTTATCACTAGTAAAAGACATACTGACATGCATACAGACTGCAGCTGCTAAACATGTATCAGGCCGTATTTGTCCTCTCACAATCACTGAGTGTGTCTTTATTGAATTGGGTTGCGCATAAATCTCTCTCTCTTTCTTTATCTGTTTATGTTGCAGCTGCCTTGGTGATCGTGTCCGAGGTGGCAGACCAGGCCAATGACAACCTGAAACAGGGGGTGAGATAACTCTAAAAAGACTCTGTGTGCTTATATCATTGACACTGTTAAGCTCCTGTTGAGTTTGATATATTCCCAGCCCAGCGTGCTGTTATTGAGACACGTCATTATATTCCGCTTGGCAATGAAAAGCAATTATAGGATGGAGATGGAGCGTAAAGAAGTTAGACAGCTGAGGTTTTCCTGTGTATCAATCCTTCTTCTAAATGACATGCAACAGTGAAGGAGAGGTCTATCCCTCTTTGGGAGGCCGACCTCTGTAGCCCGTTGAAAAATGCAAGGGGCAAAGAAAGATGATGTCATCAGAAAGTCCCAGGTGTATCATTACAAAGGGAGCTGTGTTAGGGTGGACATGGCTTGTGCTCCTCCTCAAACATGGAGATCATTTACAAAACCCTCTCGCCTCTCACTGTCAAGATCCCCTGTGCCTCCCTTTGGCTTGCCTCCTCTGTTTATCACACTTGCTTTTATTTCCTCTTCTGTGCACATGCCGGGACACGCATGCACAGAATGGACAGATAGTGGAAACACAGGGTCCCTCTATCTCTTTCCACCCCTCTATTCAGTTTTCCGTATCACATCCCTTTCCGCCTTCCTCCCTTTCATTCACGAACAAACAGGGACAGTTTCATTCTTTGTCTTCTCTACCGTCCATCACTGGGTAATCTCTCTCTATCTCTTTGCTCTCTCAGGAGAACTTGCTGCGTCTGGTCCACATCGAATACAGCGTGAAGGGCAAGAGGGACCTCCTGAAGCCCGGAAGGGTGAGCATCAAGTGGCCAGTGTTACTGTCTCACTGTCAAAACACAGCGACACATTGTTCTGTCGTGACGTCTGACAAACAATATTTGGGTCTTAAAACAAAGTTGACGTAGGCAGGAATTTGAAATCTTAACATGTATGTCTTATGGGTGTTGTTTCTTCTTCAGATGTTTGTCAAAGAGGGCACTCTGATGAAGGTCTCGAGGAAAAGCAGGGCAGCCTCGACACCTGTTTCTGGTAATACATCATGCACTCTTTATGACACATGTTTAGATTGCAATTGACATACTGTTTTCCCTTTTGTTTGAAAATAATGGTTTGACATTTTGTGAAATACTTTTATTAGTTCAACTGCTAAGAGTTGGATGAGAAAGTCCATGCCACTTCAACTATAATTAATTAACACCTAATATTTTATATCTTCAAGTTGTGATTTACCAGGAGGTTCCTTGCTGGGTGTAAGACAGATCAATTTAACAAGATAACACGTGTTAATTAGTCAGCTTCAGAGGTGTTGGTAGGTGTATTTTTCACTTTGGGAAAGGAAAGACAGGCTTTCCCTGTTTATATTCTCTAAATTAAGCTAACCACCTCCTGGCGATCGCTTCAACTTAAACAGACGACTATGAGTGTAATATCAATTTATTATCTAATAATGCAAATAAGCATGCTTTTCAAAATGTCAAACTATTTCCTGTAGGATGTTAAAATCTTTCTGCACCATACACAAGTATTTTTTGTATTAGTTTGTCTGGGCTTTTCATTGAAGTTATACCACATGTGATATTTGACATATTCAAAGAAACATGTTGGTTTCTTTTGGAACTTAATGCTCTCCATTAGGGGTTCAAATGAAGTCTTTGGGTTTGAACCAGATGCACACTTTGAGTTTGTAATGTCCAAGGGATTGATTTGTTTGCACAAAACATAAAAACAAAGCTAGCGGGGTCTGCGAGAATATGGTGTAATGTTGGGTGGAGATCGATTTGCGAGGTAGGGGAGGTTGGGAGGGAGGGCACGAGGCCAAGGCTGTAAGACCTCCACTTGGCACCACACCCATCCAGAGAGGGCCTCCCTCTTCGCTCCTCCCCTCTCCTCTCAGGACTTGTTTTCGAGGGCCCCACTTCCTTACAGGATGTTTGGTGTGGGTCACTGGATGCTGGCTTCCTGTGTATTGGGAGGGGACTGACAGCAAAGTGAAGGCCAGACACCCTGTAGAATGCGGGGTGGAGGCGTTGGCGGAGGGGGGGGGGGGTTGCTACACAAACACATAACGTGATACAGAGAAGCCCACTCTATTGTTCCATGTGCAATCAGTGCTGTCTCATGTTATGAATTATGCTTGAGCTACATATCCGTAGGAGCAGTATTTAGGATTTTTGGCTTGTCCTTGTTGATCCAAATTCAATACAATGTGAAGAAATAGATTTATGTATCTCTTATGTTTATCTTCAGTTTGCCCTTATTCTCCTTCAGTCCTTCTAACAGGATTGCAGTCGAGGGATGACTGAAAAGGGCTGGTGGTTGACGCTTGTAAGCTATTAGGGTTATAGCCATTCCCTCTCTTGAGGTTGACGGCTTCAGTGGGTCAGGTGTTATTTATGGGCTTTTAAGGAAAGAGAATCCGAACAATAGTGAAGATGAAAGCCATCACTCACCTCAGCGATGGAGAGAAGCTGCAGCCATGTCACAAGCCTGGGCTTAACGAAGAGAGTCGGATGAGTGAGGGAAGGGATTAGAAAGAGGATGGAGAAGGAGAAAGCTGCCAGAGGGAAGACAGTTTAAATGAAAGAAGAAGCTGAATCAGAGCTTTGATTCTCTGCCCTCACTTGAGTGGGCCTGACTTGACCCTCTGGGTTGCGGCTGTAATTGTGCTGTAATTTCTCAAATTCCCTAGGGCTGGAAAGGGGTCGAGTTTGAGCCAATTTCCCCACATTTTATTTGTATTATTGAATATTTTTCTCCACACTTTTGTTTATCGATAATGTTCAGGCATACAAGGAGCAGCAGTGGTTTTTTAAATATATATATTTATTATTATTTATCACAATAGATAACAAAATAATTTGCTGTAAAAAATGTATTTACAACAAACATAAGTAGGTACTTACACATAATGGAAAAAATAAGAAGAGAAGAAGGAAAAACAAAGCTGAATGAGACAAGAAGAGGAAATAAGAAAGAATATTGTACACTACTTTGTATATTACTTTTGAGTTGTTCTCTTGCCAGGCATGGTGTAAAGAGATAATTACCTGTGGATGTACTACAGTAAATGCAGACCCTATATTATGTGATAAAAGACAGTTGTGGGTCTGTGCTGAGCATTTATTAGAAGGCGCATTTGAGATTGTGTCACAACTCTGTTTCTGTACTAAAGACTTAAGCTTTTAAATCAAATTTAAATATATTTCCTTTTTTTTTGCAGTGTAAATGTAGGTATTGCATTCAGGCTAAGGCTCAAAACTCGTGCAAGGGAGAGACCTTTGAAAATAAGCGAGATCATGAAGAGTCAGGTCTAATCTTTGTGGGCCTAATCATACCTCCAAGGGGAATCAAATGAAGGTTTAGTGAGTTCTTTTGAAAAACGAAACGTCTTAAGTGGCGACAGGTCAAGTGGGTACATGTTGCATCTCATCTGGGAAGTCGTTTGAGTCATCTGTAACTTGGCACTTGGCTGGTTTTCTGTGGAAGGAATCCTGGAGTAAATGAGCGACGCAGGGTGGAGCAGACGAGCTGCGGTGGCTGCAGCCCAGAGGTCAGGGGCAGGGCTCGGGCTTGGCCATCGCGCTGTGTTTTGTCTCCAGCCAGTAGAGTCCAGTGAACCCGTTACTGCTGCGTGTGTTGTTGTTGTGGTGGTGAAGGTGGCCGGTTCCACCCAGTCCTGGTTCTCAGTGTAGCCTGGGAAGGTTGGGAGGGGATGCCTGGAGCCCGGAGCAGGGTGGAGAATTCCTGGATGCTGCCTTTACGGCCCCAGCGGATGTTTAGAGCACACATTAGGTGTGACCCATGATGTCATCTCTTTTGTCTGGGAAGGAATGAAATGCCTCTCGTAACACAATGGACTTCTCAGTGTGTTCAGGAGATCACAATACTTCTGGTCCGACAAGCAAATAAACAGTTTTAATACCTCATTTTGTTGTGTGCATACATGGGAATGTTGTGCACCGACATGTGTGAACACTTTGAAAGGAAACATGATAAGTAGGTAAGCACAGAAAGTAGCTCACATGAAAGAAAGAATAAAGAGAGAGGTGTGTGCTGCAACTGTAGACATTATTCTCAAGGTAACACCACCACCTTGTGGCAATATGGAGTTTTGCATCCTTGAATAGATGGGAATTTAACACATTTTTGTAGTCATTCAACTAGATGTTATATTATCTGCTATGTTATTCGTATAATCAAATAGGAGACCCCTAACATAATTTGCATTTTTCCTCTTTCTATGTGTTTTTATCAGATGAACGATATAATGCTGTACACCTACCCACAGCAGGATGGAAAATACAGGCTTAAGAACACGCTGTCTTTGTCCGGGATGAAGGTAGATTCACTTCTCCCTTTCATGACAATCACAGTTAATCTCCAACTTTCTATATTTTCTGGTTTAACTGTGATGTGCATTTGCCCCCCTCACACACAGGTGAGCAAACCCCTCCTCGACGACGTGCTGAACTGTCTTAGGATCGAGGTGTCTGACATCACCATAACACTGTCAGCCAGGTGAGCATCTGGCCAAACCTTGAAATTGTTTCGAAAGACTTTTCTCTGATGATGGATGAATCAGTCTTGATGATCCATCTAAAGCCTTTCAGAAGTATGAGGTATGATTGTTTCTGTGTTTCTGTTTCCTCAGTTCAGTGGGAGAGCGTGAGGACTGGTTCCACACTCTGAGTCGGGCTGTAGCCGACCACGCTGCAGGACTCTGTACGTTTGGTGGACCCTGCAGTGAGGTAAGAAAGTAAAGAGAGGCTGTTTTTTATTCTGGGTTCATAAAATATAATGTAATAATTAAATGTTTACTTTAAAAATCTGCAATAATAAGGTGTGTTTCACATACAGTAACATTTGCTTAGATATATGTAATTATGATTTTAATTTACACTATGTTTTATCCAACAAAATAATCTTCTTAAATCCCTATTATATTGCGTTTAGACTTCCAAAAACGTTTTCACTGCAGTCATTTAAAGGTGGGGTAGGTACGTTTGAGAAACCGTCTCGAGATACACTTTTTGTTATATTCCATGGAATGCTCTTAACATCCAGATAGCAATGAATATCTTAAGTGCTTTGACAACAAATTCATACAAAAATGTCATCTGTGGAAGCTGTAGAAAGCACGACCAATCATCTGTGCCGGCCCGGCTAAAGTAACTGGATGGCCTACCTGCCTGTCAGCCTTCCATCTGTGCACAAACTTATCTCGTGCCCTCATTGGTCATGTGCGCGTTCCTGTGTGTTGGAGGAGGGGCTCTGTAAGGAAGTGGCAGATTTCTTCCGGTTGTGTATTTTCAAATTCTAGCGCACTCGAGCTGGTTTCTCCAAAATGACCTACCCCACCTTTAACTCTGCCGATAATATTTCTATAACCACACCTGGTCCTTGCCTCCAACAGGCCCGTGAGAAGCTGTGGATGGCACTGGGTGAAGCTGCTCCTTTGCTGGTGCCGGTTTCTCATGTGATGATGTGCATGAACTGCACCTCTGACTTCAGCCTCACACTGAGACGACACCACTGCAACGCCTGTGGCAAGGTCAGATTCACACAACTTACAGTTTCTGAACCGGACCTGATATTAATAGTAATATAATATAATTAATTGCTAGGTTTCCAATAAAACCATTGTGCTATAGGTTCTTCATTTAAGGGCCACTTTTGATCATTTGTTTGGTTGCAAGTTGTCATTTTATCATATGGATGAAATATCAAGTATCACAAGGTCAAATAGCCTGTCTGTGTGGTGTGTATATTGTGATATCTAAATGTGTGTATTGTGTCTCTGAGCAGGTGGTGTGCAGGTCTTGTTCCAGGAACAGATACCCTCTGAAGTACCTCAAAGACAGGGTGGTTAAAGTCTGTGATCACTGCTATACTGAGCTCAGGAAAAGAGGTGAATGTCAGCTTTTCTGCATGTACTGGGGATCATCAAAAAGAAAAAAGTTTTGTGTGCGTCTTCCTCTTGATATGGCATTAACTGTGCATGTGTTTGTCTGCAGGTGGCAGCTTGTCGGGGGCGTGCGGGAACTCCAGCCCTCGGACTCACCGGGCCAGCCGTCCGCTCTCTGCTGTCTTCCAGAGCCTGCAGCCCCCGAGCCTGTGGAAGAGCCGAAAGACCACCTCCCCTCTCAACCAGGTCTGTTTTCATAACAAACAAAAATTAAGCTTGACGGGCCAAATTCCTGATCACTATGCATCTCAACCCCTCAACTCCTCAACTCCAAATCCACTTCTCATTGTCTGTCTCATGGTCATGATAGATGTTTAAGTGAGGCTGGTGACAGAGTACTTTGATGGAATGAAATCAAATCCTCAGTTTCAACACACATTTCTTTATAGTTATATATGTTTATATAATCGAACCCATAGTGTCCAGTAAATAAAGTGAGTTCCCTGACCGGGAATCGAACCCGGGCCGCGGCGGTGAGAGCGCCGAATCCTAACCACTAGACCACCAGGGAGCTGTGTTTGTAGTGTAAAGCTTGTGAAATGGAATGTTAGGCATGTATGACAACCGACAGCTGAAGAGTAGTGTCAAGCAGCTGCCAGCGGGGTCACTATATGACTCAGATAAAATGGAGATTGTGATTGTATAGTTTGTTGCTTTGGTGTATTACATTGAATCTTATTTTGGCATTTATTTCATCAGGTGTCGCTTACAGTGGAGGGCTCCACCATGAGCGGCAGCCTGCAGCGGAGAAAGAAGAGCAAGAGGAAGTGGAAGCGGCTCTGGTTCCTCCTCAAAGACAAGGTGCTCTACACCTTCACAGCCCCGGAGGTGAGGGGGCACAGAGTCTCCCACACCAGCCCCAAAACACTCAATTATATCTCAGTAATTTCCTCGCAACCTTCGTCTATCCTTTTCTTATTCTCATCTGGCCAATGCACTGATTAACACTCACATTTCCACTGTTCAACCCTCCTCCACATGACCTATCAAGGGATTCTCTGTGCTCTCTTTCTTTGACATGTGTGCATTGCTTTGTTCTTATTAAGACATTCCTGTTATTTGCATATTTCTGTCATCTCATTCGTGTGGTTAATTTGTATCTGTGAGTTTAATGTCTTTACCTCTGGTTCCTCCAGGATAAAGTGGCTTCAGAGAGTCTACCACTGCAGGCCTTCACGGTCAAGCTGACCGAGAGGCCGGAGGGAGAAGAGAGCAGCAACGTCTTCCATCTGTATCACAAGAAAACCCTGTACTACACCTTCAGGGCGGAGGATCCTAACACTGCACGAAGGTAAGCACCAATGGCGCATGTATAAACTTTAGATGTTTCTTTATGGAGGTTCAGTTTTTGGGAAAACAGTGTTCCCTGACCGGGAATCGAACCCGGGCCGCGGCGGTGAGAGCGCCGAATCCTAACCACTAGACCACCAGGGACCCCACAGGAGATATGACTAATTTTTTGGAACATTTAACATGCACCAATCAGGTATATGCACCAATCTGTATCCTCATGAGGTTGATTTAGGAAATGCTTTTTAACGTAGTTTTAGGTAGTAAAAAAAAAGAAGTTTTTCCTTCAATATCGCGATGGACTTGTTATCGCAATATTATCGTACCGTGAGTTTTTGGTATCGTTACATCCCTCGTAAATACAATTGAGAATTGTAAATTCTGACACATATCTGCCGATATATGTGTTTTGTAGCATAACTTATAGATATAGACTTAGATATGGAGGACTAATACGACTTAATTTTCCATAATAAAAAAATGTATAGACATTTGCATTTAAAGCTACAGATAGAGAATCAGCACTTTTGAAACAGGCCTGAAACAGAGGGGTATACGGCATGATACAATGCATGATCTCTTTGGTATTTCAAGCCAAACACTTCAGAGACACGTTTTGCATATATCCTATAATTTATATTGTTGAAAAAGAGTTTGAAAGGGGACCTTTAAGTTTAAATCACTCATCGAAGGGATAGTAAAAATTAAGTGCATACCTGGAAATGGAGGTATCTAACGTGATTGACCAATCCTGCTTTTAACATACCTCCTTGATGACGGTTTTCATTCTTTGGAATGGATCAGATAAAAACTGCAGATTTACAGATTAATTGTTTTGTCATGAAACAACAAACTACAGCACAGAAATTGCAAACTAAGGTCAATGTAATGCCATAGTGTGTCCACCAGAGAGCGCTGAAGAGTTCATTTTTTTAACTGTGAAATGTCTGTCAGTAAGTATCCTGACAATAAAAAATTAAAAGAACTGATCATAACAAAAGTTGGATTAACAAAATGACCAATTTAGTTCTGCAATACCCGGACCCCTTAACCTTGATATGGCTTCATCTATACGAACACTGGATTCTTCATTTCCCATAATGCACCCTTCCCTTCATTAAAAGCAGCAGTCAGACTGAGACTACAGTAAAGTGGCTTTGTCATGTAAATTGGGTGGAGTCCCCCTTTAAGATTTGGTGTCATAAGATATTTCTCTTGTGTTTCAGGTGGGTCAATGCCATGGAGGAGGCTACTGTTTTATAGCACCCGCTCAGTAAAATGAACGCGCCCTGCTGTGTGACTGCTAGGACTCTGTGGAGCACAACATGGCTACCTGCTGCTTCTGAACTCAGACCTGCTGTGGAATATTATTTGTGAAACGAATCACCAGGAGGGGATCTTAGACAAGGCTGCCACCCAATGGTAGGAAGTGGAGGATGGAAACGGATCCATCCTAGTTCAAGGAAGACTTTATATTTCAGGAGCAGCTTGGATACATCAAACGCTTCATCCAAAATAACTGTTTCACCATCATTCACAAAAGGTCCCACTGGATTATTAAACTGAGCATCCTTCATTTTTACTCAGTTCCTGCTTGTGTTCTGCGATGAGTATAACTTAACAAACACACGTTGCTCCATAGTAATATTTGCAGCTAGAAAAAAAGGGAAAATATTGGTCGCTGTTTTAGAACAATATTTGGTATTCTGAATATACATTGTGAAATATACACTTGCAGATATTGTAGTGAATTATAGGATTTGTTTGTATAGAAAATGCTGATGTTTTGAGGTCATCACCCCAGTGTGTGTACATTATATTTCTTGTGGAGTTTTACACAATGTTACTATTATATTGAATTTACAAAGCTACTGAATGGCCCTCAGCATGACATCCACTCAGCAGTATTTCTAAAGATGAAACCTTTGAAAGACTCTTTGTATTTGAATATGTATGTTTTGAGAAAAAAAAGTCAAACCGTTTCAAAGTGCCGATTGATTTCCTCCAGTTGAATGCAGTGCAATTTGCAATCGATGATGAATGTGTCTGAAATTAAATTGTACTCTTTGTTCATTATATTATCAAAGTACTGTAGTACTGTCATGTCTTCACAAAAGACCTTGATAACATTAGCTTTTTATCTACTCTTATATACTTTACAGACAAGTAACATAAGAATATACTATTGTGCCATTTTTTTATTAATGCCTTTCTCATGTATATATATATATGGATATGTATACACTGCTGGATAAAATCACACTTACTTAAAGGTCCCATGTCATGCTTTTCCGGTTATTACCCGTCCCCTTGTGTGTTATGAAGATTTGTCTGCATATAAACGGTCTGCAGAGTCATTAGTTACTCAATATCAAGCCACACTTATTGTTTTTACTTCGGCTGTGAGTGTTTGTGTGTGCTCAGGATGAGTTTCGCGCTGTCTCGCCGACCCGGAAACCACACCAGTAAGCCAGCTCACTGAGCAGCGAGCCTCGCAACGTCCCGACCAATCAGAGCACACTGAGCTCACAGGGAGGGGGGGGGGGGGGGGACAGGAGCTCCAACAAGCCGTTTAGGACAGAGTGAATACCGGTAAATACACATACTTTACAGAGATGCTGTATGAGAAACCAATGTGAGTTTGGAAAATTGCACAATATAAATCTATTTTAGTAGACCTCAACAATGGAATTATGATCAGTAGAAATGGCCATGACATGGGACTAGAGAATAAAGAAAAATCACTGTTATACCTAGAATCTGCCAGTGTTAAGAGTCTTCTGAGCCCATAATGTCTGCAGAGTTTCACTGCTGTTTTAACATCATGCAACAGCCACCTTTTTTTATCATGAATATCACCTGAAGGCTTTGTGCTGCTCCATTCAGAATGCAGCTGTACCACATGCGATCTTTCACCCGTCAAACGGCATTATTTCTAAAGCACACATTTGTTCACCAAGCCCTGTTCAGCTTTTCTACCTGTTTCTTATGTGCCATACCTATAGTGTTTATGGATTGTACCTCTTGCATATAGTGCATTGTAAATGTTAATGTATATAGATACATATAAGAATAAACTCCTTTAAAAAGTTTACTTAATGTGCTTTATCACATGAAGCTGTTTCTTTATTCTAAGCATGGATGGATTTCTATACAAGCCCACCAAGGGGCCACAAGTGCCACAGGCCCCCCTGGCCTTCAAAATGTCGTACAAAATGTCCCACAAAGAAACGTGCATCAACAAGAAAAAAACTCAAAATGACATAAAAAGATGCAAGATAACAAAAAGAGAAAACAACTACTGGGACGAAGAATTCACACATAGACACAAATATAACCACAGACAGACTCAACACAACCACAAAAAGACACAAAACAATCAAGAAGACACACAATAAGAACACAAACAGACACAAGAGCAACCCAAAAGACACACAAATGGCTAAGAACAGACACAAAACAACCATAGAAACATGAAAGGACTACAAACGGCCACAGAACAACCACAATGACACACCAGAAGACCACAAACAGACACAATGACACACCAGAAGACCACAAACAGACACAATGACACACCAGAAGACCACAAACAGACACAAAGACACACCAGAAGACCACAAACAGACACAAAGACACACCAGAAGACCACAAACAGACACAATGACACACCAGAAGACCACAAACAGACACAAAGACACACCAGAAGACCACAAACAGACACAATGACACACCAGAAGACCACAAACAGACACAATGACACACCAGAAGACCACAAACAGACACAAAGACACACCAGAAGACCACAAACAGACACAATGACACACCAGAAGACCACAAACAGACACAAAGACACACCAGAAGACCACAAACAGACACAAAGACACACCAGAAGACCACAAACAGACACAAAGACACACCAGAAGACCACAAACAGACACAATAACACACCAGAAGACCAAAAACACCACACAACTACCACAATTGCAACACAATATGTACTATGTCATGACTACAAAGACACACCTAACAACAACAGGTTATAATGCAAACAAATTACAAGGTCTGCGCCTTTGTTAGAGAGGTGGTGCAGCCTATTCCATATCCGTGCCAAGGGCACATTATGCAATCCGCCCATGATTATAGGTTACAAAAAAGCAAGAGAGGAAACAATACAAATACATTAACACCTGTGTGATGATCACCATGCCAATACTCACTACCTTTAGGAAGAGCGTTGTTCTTTTTTTGATCAGCAAAGGTCACTACGTCCAGTAGCCTACATTTCTGACTGTATTTTGTTTATAAACGATTGCATTTACTCGTAAATTGCTCATATTATTCGGCATTTAAACCCCAATATCTAGGCTAGAAGTACACAAACTATGCACACTCCAAATCGTGATAAACAGCAGTAAATCAACAGCCTGACACAATCTCTGCAGCTATAATTATGAGCCTCACAAAATAGGAACTTAATCTAGGTTTTAAGCTGTGCTCTAACTCAACTGAACAGACATTACGTGTATCACCTGTAAGTAATGCTTGGATTACGCTGATATGAGTACATACTGTAACTAACGTGTGTCCATTGTTCGTGGCTTTTGCAAAAAGTAGTTTTTTTTAAATGCATCCTTTAACCAGCAGAAGGAAGCAGATCATCATCAGAACTGTGTGTGATCCTGATGACTGAACACTGGAGAGTTCCTCCTGCATATTTCCCATTGTACGCCAGTATTAGTGTTGGAGGGCGTTTGGGTTTAGATAGTTAAAAGAAGATGTATAAGATGCAATGACAAAATAGTCACTTGTAGAGCAAATGTATTATTTCATGTAATGAGATAATGCATTAGAAAATAAAAAGGAAAGCACAGAGAAGGAAAGTGTACAATGAATGATCTGTATCACATACCAGAAGTATGGGAAGTAACTAAGTACATTTACTCAAGTACTGTACTTAAGTACAATTTTGAGATACTTGTACTTTATTTGAGTATTTCCATTTTATGTTACTTTGTACTTCTACTCCACTACAATTCAGAGGTCAATCATGTACTTTTACTCCACTAAATGTATACCTTTAGTTACAGATTTTGATTAATGATGTGAAATATAATCAACACTTACATTTAGACTTTAGTTACACCTGGAGTAAAATTCACAAGCTACCCTGTAGTATACAAAGTCATGCACCTTTACCAGCTGTGATAAACAAATAGTGCATCAATAATTATAATCAAAACATATGATATTATTCTGAAATGGGCCAATCTGCAGTACTTTTACTTTTGGTACTTTAAGTATATTTACTTGAGTAATATTTTGAATGCAGGACACACTAACACACACATATTTATTGTACCCAGACTTTTACTTTTGCTTGCAATAACTTTATTGTGAGTGTGAGGATGTTGTTAGAAAATGCAACCACTTCAAATTCACACACTTTAAATCCACATCTTTCCAGAGGGGGTCATCATTTGAATTGCGTTTTTATTTGCGGTAAATGTTTGGAATTACATTTTGGAAGCAGATGTTCTTAGGTTCTACTGTTCTTCTCAGCACCTAAGGGTAAAGGGGTAATGTTAGAGGTCTGTGAAGACCCCACTAAAAACAATGAATCCTACATGCCATGAGACTGGGTTGGAATGTATCAACACTGCATTTCATTAATTTCCACTACACTGATTGACCCGAGGCACTCTCATTTTAGGTCAAATCAAGATGACATATTTATATTACTCAGAGGGATTACACATCATTAATGCTGACTTGTTGCTGAAGTAATTTGGCCAAATAAGAAACACACATTCCCACCCACTGCCGGAGACTCTTAATGAGCCCTTCTTTTGTAAAAGGCTTTTCACTTCCCAGCCTCGGGTAATAAGAGCCATCTGAGATAAGTTCATTAGTTATACCAAAGAGTTCCACTAAGCCAAACAACCAAGTCAGACAGTGATTTAAAGCGACCAAGACAGCATTGCTAGCATTAATATTCAAAGACAAAGTAACAGCACAAAACATTTCGGCCTATTTATTTTTCAGCTTTTTATCTGCAATATTAATGACTGTGAGTAAACCAGAGCAGGCCCGGTGAGTGCTTACAAACGTACAGACAAGTGGCTTTAATGTATCGGCCAGTTTAGGTCCTTTGGTAATTTAATATGTATTTATTTGCACATTAAAAACTGTATAAGGTAGTTAGGAACTAAGGGAACACAGGGTTTGCTGAGGACACTGTTACAGAGATCTGGCAAAAATATAATTTCCACTTTAATGAGTAAAGATGATGTGATGGACTTAATTATCTCAAAGGGTCTGAATATCTCTAAGGTTGTGGTGACTGATGTTGCACTCTCTGACCATTCCTGTGTTTTCTTTGAGAGCTCTATTTCTGTTCACAAAAATGTTCAAAAAGAGGTAACCACAAAGCGATATTTAACTGAAAATACTAGGGAAATGTTTACTCAGAATTTCTCTTCCACACTTGCCCCTGCCAACATCTCAGTAAATGAGCTAGTAGATCATTTTAATTCAAAAATTCAAAATGTTATAGATGCCATTGCTCCAACTAAGGTAAAGGAAGTGTCTGGCAAGAAAATATCTCCATGGAGAAAGGCCATGACCGTGAAAACAGAAAAAAGAGAATGTCGAAAAGCTGAACGCAGGTGGCGAAAAACAAATCTCCAGGTTCACTTTGAAATCTATAAAGAGAGACTTGGCCTTTATAATTTGGAATTGAAAAACGCACGACAATCGTTCTTCTCTGACATCATTACCAAAAACAAAAACAACGCACGTGCCTTGTTTGCTACCGTCGACAGACTAACTAACCCCCCAGTGTCAGTAGCCTCTGAATTTCTATCCACCAGGGCGTGCAATGATTTTGCCTCCTTTTTCACTGACAAAATTCAGAAAATCAGACAAGCAGTCAGTGCCTCTGCATCAGGAACAGCAAATGTGTTGTCCCTATCTCCACTTAACATCAATTCAGACATCATGACACAATTCCATCAGATTAATGATAAAAACCTAGAGGACATTATTCAACTTCTGAAATCCTCCTCTTGCTGCCTTGATGTTATT